GGCAAATTCACAAAAATATCTCTACCCTGCATAAATTTTTCGATTGCAACCTTTTGATAAGCATTTAGCTCTTTAAATCTGAATTTTTCGCAAACAGCTTTGAGTGCTTCTTCCACAGCCGCCATGTTGAATTTCCAGAAGGCGGGAATGGCTTCTCGATTTCTAGAGTCGCGCTCTGATTGGCTAACGAAATGTGGTGCTGCTTGAAGCAGCCGTGTCCGTGAGGCAGCATTGCGTGACCGAAACATCACGGCTGCGGGGAGACTATCTGCCCCATGGAAGTCTACAAAAAACTGCTCAGGCTACATCCTTTCAAAGTTTATGGTCCTGACACGATTCCAAATCAAATTCTGAAGCTATTCACGTCAGAGATTTCTGAGCCCGTGACTACTACCTTTAACCAGTCATTGTCATCTGGTGATTTCCTCTCAGCGTGGAGAGATGCCTATATATCACTAATACCAAAGGTGTCACCCATTACCCTTCACCTGTGATAATGACCAATGACCAGTAGCTCTAACTGCACGCCTTTCAAAGGTATTTGAGGATTTTGTTGTCCATAGGCTAATGGAAGACATCAAGGAGCACATTGATTCAAATCAGTTTGGTTCTCTCAAAGGTGTGTCAACCACCTTTTGTCTACTTGATATACTGCATAACTGGCTATCAGGTCTTAAATCACCTGGTACATACCTGAGAGTGAGCTTTTTAGATTTCTTTAAAGCATTTGACCATATTGACCATATTGACCATAATATTCTGGTATGCAAGCTTTTCGAAATGGGTGCTAGACCCATTATCATCAAGTGGATTTGCAGCTTTTTATCACAGAGACTACAAGCTGTAAAGCTTGACGGGCTCCTTTCTAAATGGACTCCGGTGCATGCTAGGGTCCCACAAGGGACCAAACTTGGTCCAGTTCTCTTTCTGGTTATGGTTAACGATTTAGCTTGTAGATGGAGTTACTGGAAGTATATTGACAATATTAGTATTTCTGAGGTAGTTCCCCATGGTTCTCCATCAACTATACAAGATGATCTTGACAGAATTACAGCCTAGGTGGAGGAAAATTGTATGAACCTAAACCCGAAGAGGTGCGGAGAAATGAGCCTCTCCTTCCTTGCTAAAGATCTCAACATACTCCAGCTCACCGTCAATGATATGTATCTTGAAAAGGTGAGCATGCACAAAGTGTTTAGTATTACTCTTTGTGACCACTCAAAATTGGGCCAAAGCACCAGGGAGATTGTGGACAAGGCGTGTAAACGCTTATACCTGCTAAGGGTTTTGAAACAGGCTGGAGTCCCCCCAGATCACTTGATCACCATATATTGCACCCTTGTGCAATCAGTTTTAGAGTACGCTTGCCAAGTTTGGAGTAGCAGTGTACAGTCACATCTCAAGCAGCCAGTAGAGCGTGTTCAAAAAACATACCTTGAGGATTATTTTCCAGGGAATGACTAGGAAACAGCACTTTGCAGAGGCTTCATCCCTAGTCTTTCAGAAAGGTTGTGCTTACGCAACAAGATCTTTGAGAATGCAAGTCGGCCCTCCTCACGCTTATTTTTTAATGTCCCCCCCCCCCCGACGTAACGCTGTCCATGGACATAACATGAGGTCTAGCCACCATATATCATTGCCAAGATGCAGGACGGAGTGTTCTAAGACTAGTTTTTTTCCGGCAATGGCCTTTTTACAATAGTGATGCATTTTTATATAGCTTGTACATAATACCGAAACCATACCACTCCAAACACAGAAACTCAACTGAACTAAGCAAGTACATCTGGACTCTCAAAGACAACAACATCGAACACTATATTTCATGGCACATCCTGTCTTCGCATTCACCGTACAACAGCTCAAGCAAAAGATGCAACCTCTGCCTAAAGGAAAAATTTCTCATCAATTACCAACTGAAACTTTCTACACTCAACAAGCGTAATGAACTCGTGTCTTCTTGCCACCATAGAAACAAAGCCCTCCTACGCAAGAGCTGAGCCGCTAAACTTCGAGCCACATAGATTAGATATATGTTTATTATTGTTATTATGTAAATTATTTGGTATATACGAAGCGATGGTAAAGAATATTCTTATTAAATCCCCTGATGGGTGGGCAACCTTGAAACAGGCTTGTCGGGATGAAAGCGTAGTTTATTTGTTTCTTTCCTCCACAAACATACATATATATATATATATTTATAACTTTTTAAACATTTTTTGAGAATCTGATTAATGTAAACATGTTGTATTTTACCCTTGTATGAAAACATGTATTGAATAAACCTTTATTATTATTATTATTATTATTATTATTATCATCATAATTATACTCATTAGAATGTTGTCTTTTAGTTCTTAGTTTTCAGTTACTGTGCACAACTTTTGCTGCAGAGGTAGATCTACTGTCGCTTTTTACAAGCTCCATTTGCACAATTGCTGTCATTATGTGGCCCATGCAATCATTTTCTTCAGATTGAATTGGCATTTCTCTCTGCTTAGAAATTGTTAAAAAACTACCCTCTGTAAATTTGTGCAATGACTGAA